TTTGTGGGGAGTAAGGGAAGCCGATGGAAGTGTTTTGCTCCCGTCAGCCTCCCAGTGTGTGGATGGTGCGGAAATGTAATTAACAAAGCTGGAGTTACATATCTTATTTCAACCTTCCACTGTAGTGTAAACCAGGCCTGAGGTGTTTTATTAATACCCCAACCCTAGCCAGAGAAAAGTGATTTAACGAGATGTCAAGAAAAACATAGAAAGAGGACCGAATAAAAGTCACAATCTTGCTGTCACCTCTCCACAGTTCTGTGTAATGCTCCTGGACCGATAACTGAAGAGTATTTGAAATGTCATGGGACTCTTCACCCCTCCTCCCCCCGAAACAGCTGTGCTACAATATAAAGTGAAACCCTTGATGGCCCACTTAGGCAGCTGCTGAATTAAACCTTTGTATCTTAGCACAATCTAAATGATTATTGTAACTCCCTGTGACACAAGAGAAGACCAGAACCCAAGCAGGTGCGGGGACTGACTGGCGAGTCCTGTGTATAAGAGCAGGCCTGCAGAACTCAGAGCTAAAGTTATTGCTGAAGATACAACTTTCGTTATAATAATTTACTGGGGAAACGCCAGTTTCTGAAATCCCCTCTCCGCCATGAGGGCGTGGCCTAGAAATCAGGACTGTGTCGTAGGACAGGGCTTGTACACAGGGAGTCAACCCTCCTGCAGTCCTCTGTGAATCTCAACAGTACTGCACTGGAGGCAGATGTATTGCCACATATTCCCTGGCTGGAAATAGTGAGGGTTAAATGCTGCAGTGAGCAGCATATTTCCAGAGCTTTAAGGAGAGTGAGCATCTGGTCCCTCACCTACCATGTCCTTCCACTCCCTCCCTTTACCTCCCCCAGATCCTCATCACCACCAACCATTTTTAAAAAGGAGAAGGGCTTCTCTGGGGTCTGGGGAAGGGTGCCTGTCAAACGCTTGAGTCAGGAAAGAAGGATGGAAGTTTTGAGGAGTTTTACATGGGCCTGAGAGACATGCCAGGAACACAGCGGCTGGCATGCAGTAGACCCAGACCTATTGCCAACAGGCTCTTTGAGCAAACCTCCCTGCAAAGCTCTGCCAATCCACCCCGGTCTTCACCCACCACAGAGGCGACTGACTGGGTGGCAATTTTATGATGTGGGCAGCTGTCCCCTAACAACCGAGCTGGGATCACCCAGCATAAAGGCACATGTGTGTGACCTCATTCTCCTCGGGCATTTCCTGGCTTATAGGGTTTCTGAAACATTCTATTTCCATCCCGTACACATTTGTAATTATACGGCAAGGAAAGGCAGCACGAGCCCCGTCAGAGTGCATGCCGCCTGCCACACAGACAGCAGGGCTTGCACGAGTGCTTCTACTGAGTGCCAGGGCTGAGCCCTGGCACCTCTGGGCCTGGCCATTCAGGGCCCCGGCACCTCTGGGCCTGGCCGTTCAGGGCCCCGGCACCTCTGGGCCTGGCCGTTCAGGGCCCCGGTACCTCTGGGCCTGGCCGTTCAGGGCCCCGGTACCTCTGGGCCTGGCCGTTCAGGGCCCCGGTACCTCTGGGCCTGGCCGTTCAGGGCCCCGGTACCTCTGGGCCTGGCCGTTCAGGGCCCCGGTACCTCTGGGCCTGGCCGTTCAGGGCCCCGGTACCTCTGGGCCTGGCCGTTCAGGGCCCCGGTACCTCTGGGCCTGGCCGTTCAGGGCCCCGGTACCTCTGGGCCTGGCCGTTCAGGGCCCCGGTACCTCTGGGCCTGGCCGTTCAGGGCCCCGGTACCTCTGGGCCTGGCCGTTCAGGGCCCCGGTACCTCTGGGCCTGGCCGTTCAGGGCCCCGGTACCTCTGGGCCTGGCCGTTCAGGGCCCCGGTACCTCTGGGCCTGGCCGTTCAGGGCCCCGGTACCTCTGGGCCTGGCCGTTCAGGGCCCCGGTACCTCTGGGCCTGGCCGTTCAGGGCCCCGGCACCTCTGGGCCTGGCCGTTCAGGGCCCCGGCACCTCTGGGCCTGGCCGTTCAGGGCCCCGGCACCTCTGGGCCTGGCCGTTCAGGGCCCCGGCACCTCTGGGCCTGGCCGTTCAGGGCCCCGGCACCTCTGGGCCTGGCCGTTCAGGGCCCCGGCACCTCTGGGCCTGGCCGTTCAGGGCCCCGGCACCTCTGGGCCTGGCCGTTCAGGGCCCCGGTACCTCTGGGCCTGGCCGTTCAGGGCCCCGGTACCTCTGGGCTTGCTGCACTAGTTGTGAATGTACAAAAAATTGCTGGATCCTCAGCACCTCTTTCATAACAAATTAAGCACTGACTTGACCCTGCACATTTGGAGTGAGTTGGTTTCAGTGTGAGCGGGAGCAGGGTCGCGCTGCACACCAGACCCAGAGGCATGCGCTCCCCGTTCTCCCCTTGCACTCTTCTCCTCTGTTCAAAAAAGGGAAAAATGTTACTTGAATTTTAAAAATCCAAACCTGAACTAGGTCCTGGCCCCTTCGCGTTGCTCGTCCCCAGCACTGCAGCTCAGCTAGGGCCTCGCTGGCAAATCCAAAGCAATGAAAGAAATTGCAACACTGCCGGAGCTGACCTAGAGACTTAAATGTCAGATGGTAAACCAAGGAAATTCCCTTCAGCCCACTTCCTTGTGACTATTCCCTGCTTCTAAGAGTTCAGCAGCTTCCTGGCTAGGGCATGTAGCCCACACCCACCACTCCTCCTCTGCACTTTTCCCCTGGCGTTAGCTATCCAGAGGAAGAGGCAGGTCTGAGCCATAAAGCGCAGAGCTGAGACTGAACCTCGCAATTTGTGAGTTTTAGTGGAGTTTTAGTTTGGGCCAGTGACTAGGGTTGCCAGATGGTTTCAGAAAAAATACCAAGGTCTAGGTTCTTGTCCCTGTTCTGCCAAACTCCGTCTCTTTGTGATCGTGAATAGTTGTGGTCTGTGCCTCAGTTTCTCCCTGGGTAGAACAGGGATAACATTTCCCTAACTCACTGGAGGGCTGTGAGGCTAAGTTAAGGCTTGTGGAGTAAGGCTTTGAGATCCCAATAGAAAGCACTTCAACCAAAATAAAAAGCACAACAACCAAAATAAACCGTGCCAAGAAAAAAAGTTTGTTGAGCCAAAAAAAGCACCATGGCTCCTTTAAAAACTACGTGTGAGGCTTTTTAACAGGCTGCCAGCGGCCACCTGCCATCTTGCCTCCCTGCGCTGAGCTAGACAGCTCCCCTGCGGAACCCAGTAAGCACTAGGGTTGCCATCCTGCCTCCGTATTGAGTCAGACAGCCTGGGATTTTCACCTCCTGGCTGGGAAGAAATGAGAAAGTACCGGACATTTTAGGTGTCTGGTATTTTCTGAATTTTTTTTACCAGACAGGAGGTGAAAGTACAGAACTGTCTGGTTCAATACCGGACACCTGGCAATCCTACCAGTGAGAGACAGGCCTGAGCCACAATGTCGAGATCCGGATCCCCACCTTCTGTAAAGTTCATGGAAGTTGATGGCCAAAGCCCATGTCCAAGTAGAAGACCGCTTGGTTCGCATGTCTACACTAGGAAATTATTTTGAAATAATAGCTCCTGAAATAACTATTTTGAAATAAGCTTATTCCCCAAGGAAAGCAGGAGTTGTTATTTCGAAATAACCAGCCCCCTTTCAAAATAACGGGCTTCGTAGTGTAGCTGTTCCGTTTGTTATTTCAAAATAAGGAGAGTTATTTCGAAATAACTTCCTAGTGTAGACCAGGGCCAAGAGACCTCTGTGTTGCTTCTCTCCCTCCTGTGGCTGTCCTGGTTTGCTACCCTGTTTTCCACTTCTGTACCATCAGGATTTGCAACAGTAATGTGAGAAAAGATCAATATATATGAACCCTGAGCTAACTGTGAACTCTTCAGAGAAGGGATCCCTTCCTCCAAACAGGCATTTGGGTCCCTGTATGACACTGTGGTATAAGCAATAATAATATCCCCTCTATGTGATGCTGCATTCCCTACCAAATGGACCAGTTGAAAACGATGCTGTTTCTATGTGACTAGGTTGAACTGTGGCACTGTGTGCATGAAATTTTAGCTATGCCATTAGGAAGAATGGGTCAAGTTCATCTGCTTGAAATAATCACTGACTTCAGTTGTATTACCCTGGGGATAGATAGGCCCCTAACGAGGCACTGGCATCGATAGTGCTGCTTTGTTTGTAAGAAAATGATTCCGTTTTTGACAGACCAAACGTGCAGACAGGAAAAAATGTGCTTAAACGTGGAAGTTAAAAATAGGCTACGGCCACCACTGACTTTGGTCTTATCGAGAGGAAGAGTGAAATGAGCTCGTAGCACAAGAGATCCTGGAGATCTAGGTTCTTGTCCCTGTTCTGCCAAACTCCGTCTCTGTGTGATCATGAGTAGTCATGGTCTGTGCCTCAGTTTCCCCATGGGTAGAACAGGGATAACATTTCCCTAACTCACTAGAGGACTGTGAGGTTAAGTTAAGGCTTATGAAGTGCTTTGAGATCCCAATAGAAAGCATTAGTGAAATGCAAAGTTTTGTCATGTCTGCTCAGAGCAGCAAGACTCCCCTGAGTTAGCGCCTTTACTGATTGACCTGTAGCCTACAGGGCAGCGGATTTTCTTCCATGAGGTGTTGTCTGATCTCTGGAGGCTGGCTCCCCATGTAACTATAATTGCACATGGATTGTTTTAAAGGAGAACCAACACTGGGATCACTTAAAGGTGGGATGAAAATGCAGACATTATTGGTATGTATTTGATTTAGAGGTATAACGTTACAGATAAATGTTTCCTTCCCCTCTTCTCTCCCTCGCCCCCTCTCTCCTCCCGTGATCTGCAGGAAGAACAGAAGTGTTTAGAAACAGTGGAACTGGAGAGCTATGACAGGTGCCAGGATCTGCGTGCACTCTTGAAAAGGAAAAACCGTTTCATTTTAATTCGATTATTGGTATGTATTTGATTTAGAGGTATAACGTTACAGATAAATGTTTCCTTCCCCTCTTCTCTCCCTCGCCCCCTCTCTCCTCCCGTGATCTGCAGGAAGAACAGAAGTGTTTAGAAACAGTGGAACTGGAGAGCTATGACAGGTGCCAGGATCTGCGTGCACTCTTGAAAAGGAAAAACCGTTTCATTTTAATTCGATCGC